AGGGATCAAACCCAGGACTTTCTACATGCTAGTTAGGAACTACATTCTCACCTGTAAATAACTTCAAAAAATTCTACTAAAGCACTTTAATTCCATTTTAGTCAACTACAAGTTGGCTCTTCTTGTTTCAGTTTACTCCTTAACCATGGTTTTTCATTGCTTCTTTCAATAAATTCAGCCTTCTTATTCTCGTTGTTAATATACTAAAAATCTGCAGCTTCCCTTTCATAAGCCATCTTCTGAACTTTGGTCTGAATGTTCTCCTTTAATGCTCTCAGCATTAATGTTTCAAATAAAATCTCATCAGAGCTTTCTCCAGCCCTTCTGGGTCAGAGAAATCTCTACTGCTAAAATTTCTTCTTGTTTCAGTTTACTCCTTAACCATGGTTTTTCATTGCTTCTTTCAATAAATTCAGCCTTCTTATTCTCGTTGTTAATATACTAAAAATCTGCAGCTTCCCTTTCATAAGCCATCTTCTGAACTTTGGTCTGAATGTTCTCCTTTAATGCTCTCAGCATTAATGTTTCAAATAAAATCTCATCAGAGCTTTCTCCAGCCCTTCTGGGTCAGAGAAATCTCTACTGCTAAAATTTACAGATGAAATTGTGCCATGTGCTTTGGAGCGATGTCACAAGCTTCCAGAGCAAAATTAAGACACTAGTTACCCTTTGCTTGTGATGCTCAATGACATTGGATTCTTCCATTAGCCTGTTCAGATTTATGACCCAAAGTCATGTAAGCTCCTTCATCCTACTGCTTCCTACATATTGAATTAGTGAAATATAATCAAAATGTAAAGACCACATGCTTTATTCAAGCCAAACTGGATTGAGATCTTACTCTTACCACTTAAAAAATTGTTATAATTTTGGAAAAGTTCCTTTTGAGCCTTAGTTTCTTCACCTTTAAAGTGGGAGCGATAATTATACCTCTTAGGTTAGCTATGAAAATTAAAACAGATGATGCAGGTAGAACATTTGATAGAGGTATTCAACACAATTAGTTATTATTCAAATATTTGGTTCATGAAAATTGAGTGTTATTTTTTGGGATTTAGCATACTATACCTTTGTACATGTTAATATAATGAGCCAATATCTATGTCAACCTGGTTGTCATCTGTTGTAACAGAAGTTTCCCACTGTTGATTTAATTTCCCAGGGGACATTTTCCCCTTGTAAGTTGAGGCAGTAATTTGAAATTTATGGCTAAGATCTAGCTTGAGTGATTGTGAAGTTAAACTCACTGTTAATGTTGGAGAGGCACATCTACATATCTGTATCTATATAATATTCTGTTCAGATTCAGAATATTGACCAGTGCTGCTAGGCACTATTGAATAGACCAGAGAGGAAAAGGGTTATCGTGGCAGGAAGAGAAATGAACACTACTTAATGAACTTGCATTTCAATGAGCAGGGTTTTTAATAAAGAAAAAGAGCTTTTTATAAATTCTTTTGCTCAGCAACAATGAAAAGAGGAAAGGAGCACTCAGCTGGGAACAATAGCTACTCAGCTCATAAAAAATCATTAGAAGGAACATTTGCTTTGTCTACCATGCCTAGCAATTTCGCTGGTGGGCAATGATCCAGATCACTTAGATTCCACCTATAAAAATGAGTCCAGAGAACTTTCTCTACTTTTTCATCTAATAAATTATACTAACGAAAGTTCTAATTTCCTAATGTATATACCTCTACCATAGACACAAATTTGGCTCATAATTCATGAAATGTTTTTGACAAGTAGATGACACTGATCTAGTATTAATAGGATCTGCATTTCAGTGTGCTTTTCCATTAGAAGGGAGGGAAGACGCTGACACCTTTACTTACTTCCATCAAGTCTTCTGTAGTTGGAGACCTGTGCCTGGGAGAAACAACTGAGAGAGGTGTGGAGTGCATTTACTGTGCAAAACAGGCCAGTGTACTGAACTTCTCAAGAGCTGCAGTCTCTGTGGCTCATCCTGAGCTGGCTGAGCAAAATAAATGTTATATTTTTGACATTAAGGGCCTGGCTGATTCATCTTGTCCAACAAATGTCATTAAACTATCCTAAGCTAATTGTGAAATGTGTTGAAAATAAGTCATAAAAAGCTCTTTTCTGTGTTCAAGTTCCTCTGTGACAACCAAAAAATTTCTACACACATAAAATATGTTCTCTCTAATGGCCTTGCTAGGTAATCATAAGTAATACAGCTTTTAAAATTCCTTGTTAATTAAAAAGTATGAGACAAAAAAGTTAACCTATGTATAAGAATATTTTTCTATTTAGCTTGAACATATTAAATATTCTAAGAAGGAACTTACTTTACTGCCTGGCATAGTAAGTTTCAGTATGTCCTGAATGACTAAAATGCCTTTCAAACAAAATAAATAACTAAATGAAATGAAGTCTGTTACACTCAACACTTTTTGCCTCACTAAGCTTCTTTCTGCTTTTGACTTGCATGCTGCTGATTGGTACCAGCAAGTATACTCCAAATGGCCTTCCATACTCCCCTATAACTGTTCATCTGACTTACACATAACCTGTGAAGTAAATGTGTTGTTAAAAGGTCTCCCCTCATACTGATGCTAAGATCTAAGACACAGAAACTGCACTATCAACAAAAAGCTTAATTAAGCAGAATATGCAACCACAGCAAGCATGTAAAAGCCATTTTTACTGGAGATGGATCACCATTCAAATAGGCTTTTTACAAAAAGGAGGGTGGGTAGTTGGTCAAAACCCAATTTTATAATTGTACTTCCACTGAGAGAATTACTACAGAACTTATATCTTCCTAAAATAGTAGTCATCTGAATCTTTCCTGAATTATGTTCTAGGTAGTTGCAGTTAAATTACATACAACTGATTTTTGCAGTATTGGAGATTGCACTCAGGACCCTGCATGTGCTAAGCAAGTTCTCCACCACTGAGCTACACTGCCGGTCCTTCTAAAATTTTACTTTGAGACAAGGTCTAGCTAAATTGCCCAGGCTGGCCTTGAACTTATCCTTTTGCCTAAGCCTCTAGGCTAACTGGAAGTATAGTTACGTACCACCATGCTCAGCACAAGTGACAATTTTTTTTAAAGTAATGCCTTAACTGATTTGATTAAGGGGGCGGAGTGGGGAAGAATGCCTCCCTATGCTGTGTATTAAAGATAACCACTGCCTCACTCTTTCTGTAACTAGGCAGCCTCCGTAATTCTTTCTTAGACCAACTGAATATACAGAAGTGATGCCTTGACAGTTTCTAGACCCAGATTGAGTTTGGCTGCTCCCAGTTCCTGTTTTTGGACAACGATCTCCTGTAGCACAGTTGCTATGGTATGAGGATGCTCCAGCAGCCCTGGAGAGAAGTCTATTTTAGAGAGAAACTGAGGCTCCCAGGCAACAACCAGCTCCAACTCGCTGAACACATGAAGTGGTTCCTCCAGCCTCAGTTGATGCTGCATCGGAGAAGCTGCCTCACCACATCCTACCCAAATTTTGGATTCAAGAATAAGTAAGTAATTACTGGAACATACCTTGAACCTTAATCCAAAGTATTAAAAAAGATAAAATTAATTAAATGGGGGCAAATAACTTATTTTTTGAACATTTGCTATGTGACAAAATTATTTTCATATTCCTATTTACTACAACAACCTTATTAGGTAGGATTATTTTCACTATACATGAGGGCTATAGACCTTGCACGGTCTGTTCAAGATCACATAATGGGAAGATACTACTTAAAACCAGATCTGATGCCTTGATATATGCTCAGCAGAAAACAGAGATGAAGGAAATTCTATGTTAATACTGGGGTGACTCAAATTCTCCCTAATTTACAGGGTTGGCCTGTCATGACTATGTTCCCAACCTTGCTTTTGAGAAACTCTGCCCTCTAATCACACTGACGCATCTATTTCTACTAATTCTGATCCCAGGAGAAACAATACTGACTCACCAATCACATGGCATCTTTTATTAATTTTTTAAAAGCCCAGCACTATGTCATTTGCTCCATGAAGATGACCCCCATGTGCTAAGTTTTAAAACATTTGCTTCTTCTTTGGAACTTTTTTTTTGTTGCAGTACTGGGGTTTGAACTCAGGGTCCCATGCATGGTAGGCAGGTGCCCTACCACTTGAGCCACTCCACCAGTCCTGGAACGTCTTCAACATACACCTGCACCTCTCTAACAGTAGTCATTATTTATATGATTTATTCTTTCTCTATATATAAATTCCTCTGGGTCAGGATCCATGTTTCACACTTGTAATTCTCAGAGGACCCACTACACACCTATGATGCCTTACACATCATAGGTAGTCAATAAAAATTTGTAGAATGAATAACTGAATAAGCATACAGTATTGGAAGACTATAATTAAATATAAATTCCTTAGATCTCTCCAGCTCTTTTCAGTCTTTCCTCTTAGGGCTCATTTTGTAAATCTTTAATCATTTTAGTGGCTCTCCAAGTTCTCATGCTTTACCTATAGGGTCTCAGAGAAAGCAGAGTTCCTGAACAAGTCCTAACCACTATTATACAAATCACTATTCAGTAAGTTAAATTACATTTCAGATAATTTCCTCATGAGGTGGCAGCCACTATTTGGTCTCAAAACATTTAAAGCATTTTACATAGGCAGAGTCTCAAATTCCTCTGAAGAAACATGAGACAATGAAGGTACAAACATGAGCAGCAAGAAAATTTCTTCTCATCACTCACAAATCCCTAAAGCATTCATGATGGTTGTATTTTGTGTGTGTTGTGTGTGCCTGTAGTGGGGAAGTTTAGGACTAACATAACAAAACTGTGAAAATATGAATATTACAGAGAAAATAATAAGGAATATCAGTTTTATAAAACCTAGGGGGTCCTTTATAAAAATAAAAAGCAAGACTATTAATCTTTTATTGTTACAGTTTAAAGATGAAAGACTGGTCAACATGCATGAAAATTAACATGATATTTTAGACCAATATGCATGACATTTTCTTTTTAAGTCCCCCAGTTTTTTCCTTCAGTGGGCTGCTTGAACATCAATCAATGTTTGGTAGTTGCTTCTAGCAAGTCTTTTGCTTCATTTATTTTCGTTGCTAGGTATGGAGATCCACCTACAAAGACAAAGAAAAATAAATGAATTAAAATATACTTCATCATTAACATTTGAAAAAGTCTCAAAAAAGAAAACAGCACTTAATTCTGATTTTACCACACATTCATCTTCTGATAAACTATTTTGTATGCTTATCAAGAACCAAAACAATATATATTAAACTTGTTCAGTAAAGTATTACAGATATCTAACAGTCAAAAAAAAAAAACTTCTGGGAAAAACAATTAGAATTATGGCCAGGAATAATCTGAAGAACATTCAAATATTTCACTGGTCAAACACTGACTCTCAGGGTCTGGTTAAAGAGCTCAGGTAGTCTCAAACTCCATAATCCTCCAGCCTCTACCTCCCAAATGCTGGGAAAACAGGTGTATGCCATTGAACCTGGTGTCCCCTTCAGTCACTTGACTAAAGAATTTTCTGATATTAAATGGATAGTTAGGTAAACAGAATAAGTCTTTTTTCACAGCTTTTTTTTTTTTTTCTTTTTTTAGTGGTACAAGGGTTTGAACTCAGGGTTTTGCCCTTACTAGGCATGTACTCCACCTGAGCCCTCTAAACCGTTTTGCCCTATTTTGGAGACAGGGTCTCACTCTTTGCCCAAGCCCTAATTTATGCTTCCATCTGTCACTTGGGATCACACCCAGCTTTTTCCATTAAGATGCAGGGGTCTCAAAAACTTTTATTGACTGGGCTGGCATGGAACCATAATCCTCCTGATCTCAGCCTCCTATAGCTTAGGATGACAGGCATGTCCCAGATGGCCCAACTATAAATTGAGATGAGGTCCTGTGAATTTTTTGCCTGGGAAACACAATTCTTCCAATCTCAGCCAGCCAAGTAGCCAGGATTACAGGCAGGAGTGAGCCACTGGCGCCCAGCTTCCATGGCTTTTTTTCTCCTAAAGCAATGCATAATCATTACCTTTAAGAAGGAAGTAAATCAATCTAAGGAGTCTTTTAAAGTCTTATCAAGTCTTATGATTTTATAAGAATAAAATGTATGATCAAAAAGGCAACTATGTGATATATTTACTAATATAGATGAATCAACTGATACTAAAAAATGATAGTAAAAATGTTCCTGTTCTTTGAAATGATCCTATTAGAATATTTAGTGTCCTAAAAGAAAATAAAATCAGTTCTTTAAAAAAGTTCTTTGCAATGAATTCTTCCTAATGCAAACAGCAAGAGGAAAACTGAGATGAATTTTAAATGCAGAATCATTATAAATCATAAATAATGCCTATTTGACATACAAAAATACTAGCCCCAAATTGTTACATTGAAGCTATTTAAATATCACATTCCTTCTAACATCTAGTCCCGAGTACTGTCATCGTTTAATGCTTAAGCTAAGTATTACTTTACAGTTTACCAGTCCTTCTGTTGTTTGTTTTTATTTTGTAATCTCCCCTTAAGTGCAAATCATCTATAGATATTGAAAATATTGTAAGACCTCACAACTTACAACAAACCAAAAAGCATCTAGGTAATACAGGTGGAAATTATCCTGACTTTCTCCAGTCTTTTTACTGATATCGTACCACTCATCTTATGAAGGTATGAGGAACAGGGAAAACAGATCAACAAACATGGGGTTAAAGAAGAGAGGCTGGAGGAAGCTATAGTTAGCCTTTTGCCCTTGAGGATACACTGACATTTTCATATCAAGATCTGAATTGTTAAAAGCACTTAAGGATACAGTGTCCTTAAAGATATGACAAGAATTACAAAAAGTTCATAGCTCACATGATTATGAAGTAAGTTGATTTCATGAGGTCAGCTGAAAATGACCTCAAGAAGTAATGTTCATCTTGGCAAGCTGTTTGAATTTTAAGTTATCAAAGAGATGCCAAGCATTTTGTGGCCTCAAAATATTACAATATTAACTGAGCTAAAACGTAACCTTTCATTGATTGATATGCATTCTGGGTATTTAATAAACAGGTCACAACATGCTATACTGTAGTAAGAGAAGTCCTATTACTGGAGGAAAAAATCAAATGCTCAGAAGTTGAAAGTCTTATCAAACATATTTATTGATGGCAGTTTTAGAGGAAAAATGATGGTTTATTCAGAATAATGCTGAATTCTCCACCACTCATTTTCTTTAAGTTAGAGGTACACAAGATTTGTAATTATGTGCATGGCAGGAAGTTTGGGTTGGTTCTCGTGAATTCACATTCTACCTCCTAATACCTGGAAAAGCTCCTAAGCCATAAACTACAATTCCCTCATTCTCTTCACAAAGCATTTGATTCAAATCAGCTCCATTAATTAGAAGCACTCCTGTGAGAGCTGGCAGGCTGGACGGAGGGAAAGGCTTTCTTGTTTGATCCATGGCTACTGGTGTACAAGAGTGTGGTGCAGTGGTGGCAACAAGTGTGTTTCTCACCCAGTTGTAGTGGCAGTCTTTGAGGCAGAAGTTTTGCTGACTGAACAGTTGTATTACCATTTGCAGGTCATTTTTGTAGATCAAGAAAGAATTTGCAGCTTTAGGTCCTCCATTTAATTAGAGTACTCGACTTTGCCCTTGATGTCTTTGTATATTTGTAATACCACTAAATATTGCTAGAGTTCCTCTGTTTTTAGTTATCATGAACTATCATTTTTAGGACCAACTCTTAACACTGGCACTGACCAGGAGAGGTGAATAAAGTATAAACACACCAGTATAAAAGTACTGGAAGGCTACCAAGTCAGTCAGGTGTTAAGTCAGGATCCTGCAGACAAGAAAAGTGCACTGTATGAACACAACATTCTGCACTGCCTTTCCCTGCTCCAGAAACTGGACATCAAGTAATACATACTACACAATTCCACTTAGGTGAAACTCTACAAAAGACAAGTTTAATCTGTAGTGGAACAGTGATTGCCTGAACTGTGCAGACTGAGCGCAATGGGAAGAAGTATCAGGGATCCTTCGGAGTGGATGGAAGTGGTCTATATGTGGTACACGGTGCTGGTGGTTACATGGATGTAAACATTTGTCAAAACTCATCAAACAATGCATTTAAATGGATGGTGGATGGAATTTATTCTATGTAAATCATTTCAAAATAGTTGATTCATTAAATAACAACTACATGTTGGTTACAAAAGAGTATTTGCTTTTAAATAATACAAAAAGATATTCACTAATGAAAGTGAAGCTGGCATTGCTACTAATTATCAGATGAACAACACTTTAAGGCAAAATGCACTAAGAGACTTCCCCGTGTTTGTTAGTCCACTACTAAGACAAAGCAAACCAATAAATCTGAATGCAACTAATAACTTAGCCTGAAACCATACAAAGAAAACACTGACAGAACCAAAAGAAAAACAAAGAAATCCATAATTACTGTGGGAGATTTAGTATACTTCTCTCTTAGTAATTCATTGAAAAATTAAGAGAAAAATGTAAGAACATCAAAAAATTACATAACACAATGAACAAATTTGATCTGATTTATGTGAAACAATTCACCCTATGAGTGCCAAATACACTCTTTTAAACTGCACATTAGAATACTTACTGAAATTGATCATGTGCACCAAGTCTCAACGAACTTTAAAGATTAAAATCAGTGGCATGGGGCATGGCTCAAGTGGTGGAGTGCCTTTGTAACAAGTGTCAGGCCTTGAACCTTAACACCATCAAAAAATAAAAAAGAACTGAAATGTAACAAGCAGTGCCACTCGAACTATGTTCCATGGACTGATGCTGGCTTACGATTTTGAATGCACCACAACCAGAGTTTTAGAAGGTGAGAGTTTTTAGAAAATATTATACTTGTTTGATATGCAGTATATTCCTGTATAATCTAAAACTATGAAGTTAGTGCTTAGATCTTTATATATATTTAATTTTTTAGTAAATCCATTTTTGTTGTATTTTATAAAAGCTTTCAGTCCACAAGAGAATAAGAAAAACAAAAACAAAACCAATTCTACCAGAGAGTTTGAGCAGTGCTAATACAGACTAGGTTAACTGACCATCATGGGATTATGACAGAAATTAGCAAACACATCTAGGGTAATCTCAATGTTTGGAAATCAATTAATATACTTCTAAATAATTTATTTATCAAGGAAGATATCTCGCAAGAGATTAGCACTGAAGAGAGAATCAGTAAAGATAAAGGCTAGTTTCTTTAAAAAAAAAATGAATCAACTTCAAGTCAAATCACTGGGAAATTTAAGTCATACTTTTTTTTGTACTGGGGTTTGAACTCAGGGCTTCAAGCTTGCAAGGCAGGTGCTCTACTGCATGAGCCATACCTCCAGCCCAAAGCACTGAAAACTTAAATGAAAAATAACTTCTGAGAAAAAAAACAAACCAATACAAGAAGAAATGAAAAAACAAAAGCATCTTATCTATTTGAAAACTGAATATGTAATCAAAAACCTTCCCACAAATTAAATTTTTTTTTCAGTACTGGGATTTGAAATCTGGGCTTTGCACTTGAACCATGCCCTCTGTCCCCTGGCTAAGACTTAATTGGTGAATTAAAAAAAAAAAAAAAAGATGAGCAGGAAAACACATTTCAACTTTTTATGTGCCCTGTGTTATATCTGATGAGATATCATGATAAAGGAAACCAGAGTCATCTCTCATGAGCATAGGTGCTTTATAAACAAAATGTTCACTTATCCAATCAGACTTTAAATATCATGACTGTTAGGTTTATATCAGAAATGCAAGTTCGCTTTAATATTTAAAAATTAATCACTGTAATTCATCACATTAAAGTTAAGAAATCATATAATCACCCCAATAGATGCAGAAAATTTAAAACACATTCACAATAAAAACTTCCAGTAAACTGAGAACAGAAGGAAAGCCCTCTGATGTGATAAAGTCATCAAAAATATAGCAAATAATATGTTTAGTAGTATAATGCTGAAAGATTTTGCTCTAAGATCAGCAACAAGAAGATGATAATACTACCATTACATCTATTTACAGTATATTGGAGGTTCTAGCCATTGTGATAACTGTTTCCTCCCCTCC